TGCCCAGCAGTCGGCAGCGGCGCACCGGACAGTAGCCCCACCATAGCCCGCCGCGATGGCTGGCGACGAGGGGGAGGCAGGGCAGGCGGCCAAGGGCGCCGGCGAGGCGGCGCCGCCGGCGCGGGAGCGGCGGGCGCGCTCCGGCCTGCAAATTACGGATGAGAAGCTGCTGTGGTTCCTCCAGAACGAGGCGCTGGGCAACGACGCCTGGCAGCTGCCCAGGGACAAGCCCGCCACCTCCCGTCCCAAGCAGAAGAGCTCCTCACACACCGGCGGCAGCAGCCGCGGCACAGCCGACCCCTCCACCAAGTCTGTCAAGCCGCGGCCGGCAGCCACGACTGCCGCCACCAACGGCAGGCAGCAGCAGCAGCAGCGCAGCCAGCACGGCGGCACGGCGGCCAGGCTGGCCGCCGGCCAGGAGGTGGCCAGCAGCGGCCGGCGGCCGCCAGCACCCACCAAGCCTGCGCCCGCCAGCCAGCCGCCCGCGCCGCCGCCGGCCAGCACCCACCACGCCAACGGCCGGCCGCCCAAGCGACTAAAGGCGATGCTGGTGTCAGACCACATCACGGCCGCCACCCTGCCAGACAGCAGCAGCAGCGAGAGCGAGAGCGAGGGCGAGTCGAGCGGCAGCGAGGATGAGGCGGGGCGGGAGGCGGCGCGGGCGGCACAGACGGCCTGGGAGGTGGGCCTCAACGGCGCGGGGCTGGTGGAGGATGAGGCGCGCCTGCTGCCACCTGGCGCCAGCGAGGCGGCGTACGTGCGGGTGAGCTGGCGCTGGCCGACCTGGGGAAAGGTGGAGGGCGGCAGCTGCAGCCTCCAGGGCGGCAGCACCAGCGCAGCGGAGTGCTGCGGCGTATGGCCTCGAGGGGCGGGCAGCTGTGGGCTTGGAAATCCAAGGCAGGAGTGTTGGCAGGCAGCGCCTCTGTGCCCGCTGCCCTCCCACCCCGCCCCGCCCCCACCGCACCCGCGCATGCAGGCACGGAACCTGGTGCTGTGCCGGTGGCGGCAGGACGTGAGCCGGCGGCTGGGGGAGGCTGAGGCTCTGGCCTGTGTGCCCCGTCAGGACCGCCCCTACGCCCTGGCAGCCCACCGCTTCCTTTCCACCATGGGTTACATCAACTTTGGGGTGTCGGAGGAGCAGCAGCGCCAGCTGGCGGGCGCCCGCCAGGACGCGGGCAGCGTGGTGGTGGTGGGCGCGGGGTGCGCCGGCCTGGCGGTGGCCCGGCAGCTGAGAGCCGCGGGGTACCGCGTGGTGGTGGTGGAGGGGCGGCAGCGGCCGGGCGGCAGGGTGTGGACGGAGCGGCTTGAGGTGAGAGGGGGCCCCGCCGGCAGCGGCCAGCCATGCCGCAGGCCAGAAATCTCTCCTGCCTGGCACCGCTGCACGCACCGGCCCCCAGCACCCGCCTTGGGGTACAGCCAAGCGTCCCGGCCTGCCCGCCCCTCCCGAACCGCCTCCCCGGCATGTGCCTGCCGCCTGCCGTCCCCGATGCTCCCTCCCCGCCTGCCGCCTGCCGTCCCCGACGCTCCCTCCCCGCCGCCCGCTCGCCGCTGCCGTGTGGCGGCGCCGCGCGTGCAGGGCCCGGGCGCGTGCGGGGTGGCCGACATCGGCGGCAGCATCATCACTGGCATCGACGGCAACCCGCTGGCGGTGCTGGTGAAGCAGATGGGTCTGCACATGGCAGACATACGCACGGGTGGGTGGGTGGGTAGGGGGCTGGGCACACGCATAAAACGGCTGCTTGGGGCGCGAACCCGCTGCACCCGGCCCCCTGGCATCCCTCCAGCCGCCAGCCCCACGCCCTGCTGCCCCAGGCATGCACCTCTGGGCGCCGCGCTCCGCTGGGCGCCCGCTGCGCCGCTCCCTCCTCCCCC